AGGTCGTTTCGAAAAATGCATCAGAAGTCAGACAGTTCCTGAATCTCGCTGTTTTGCTGCCTGGAATTGTCACCAGTGGTGGGAATCGATGTCACGTTTTTTTTTTGTTTTTTTTTTTAATCACAGATGAATGACCTCAAGAAAAAAATTAAAATGTAATTTATAGTAAATATTATAGTGTTTTTGAAAAAACATTCAGTATGTTTATTGTTGTGGTACAATAACAGCTATAGAATTTAGTTTTTTAATAAATAGGTATCAAAACACTATAGTATTGCTATAAATTACTATTGTATTTTTTAACGTGGGAGTGAATGCAACTGAAATATCACTGTTTTCACAAAAAGATGGTCACAATCACAGAAGACAAACAGCTCATTACTTAAAAGGCTGCATTTAAAATATAAATCTTCATAATCAACAGTGAGCCTAGATGTTAAAAGAATGTCGAAATAAACCGCTTATACAGCAAGAAAGGTTTCAAGAAATCTAATTTGGCTATGTTATAAATTAAGTAGCTATAGCGAGATGCTTTTGAGTGTTAGGTCATGACAAGTGTTTGTTTATTTGTTTTGCTAGGAACTTCCCTAGAATTTGGCATTTTATTGAACAAGTGGTCCATTCCATTCCAGAAGGTATAAAGCAGTGGTCACCAAACTTGTTCCTGAAGGGCCGGTGTCCTGCAGATTTTAGTCCCTTTCACACATACAGACCTTTCCGGAAAATTGCCGGCAAAAAAAGGTTGTATGTGTGAACAGGTTCTTTTTGAAAATACCGGTAAATTCGTTCAGGCTATTTTCCGGAAAGAGAAGTTGTAACATTACCGGCAATTTGCCGGAAAGCTGCACTGTGTGAATGCAGAAGGAAGATTGCTGTAATAAGCGCGTGCTTGTCTAGAACGTGCTGACGTGAGACGTCTGCTTTAGCCAATCACAACAGTCAGACGTATTTACGTCCGCGCGGTTTGTGAGAATAAAAGCCTTTGAATATTTTTCCAGACACATTTAGCTGCTAGAAGTTAGTCAGATCCCGTTTATATGTTCTTCTTAATGCCAACTGTGTAAATAATCATCGATGAGATGCTTATGATAAGCCGTTGTTTGTTTACCTTCAAGCTTTGCGTGTGCCTGTGAAACAGCCTGTGAGCGCCTGCACACACACATATTATGAACATCTCGACATGCGAAAGTGATCCTGCGAAAGTTGTTCACAATACTGATCATCCACAGAGTTTGTAATTTAGTCAAATGTTTACAAACACAAGCGCAGCCGTTTAAAGCTCATTTGTGGGGAATGATGTCAGAATTTACCGGTATTTTGGAATGGATGTGTGAATGCTCTTTTCCGGAAAATTTCCGTAACGTCCTCGCCTGTGTGAACAGCGCTTTTTTGAATATACCGGTAAAGTCGTTCCGGAAATTTTCCAGATATTTACCGGTATCACTGTGTGAAAGGGGCTTTTAGCTCCAACCCTAATCAAACACACCTGAACAAGCTAATCAAGGTCTTACTTGGAATACTTGAAACATCCAGGCAGGTGTGTTGAGGCAAGTTGGAGCTAAATCCTGCAGGGACACCGGTCCTCCAGGACCAGGATTGGTGACCCCTGGTATAAAGGAACAGCACACGGACTACAACATTTTATTTAGTTTTTACTGTATGTATAAATTTGTTATAAACAGGTTGTTTTTGTCACATACATTAAATGTTTAAATATCTATTACATATGATATGGTACTGCCTATTAGAGCTGTGAACCTACACTAGTCTCACGGTTCGGTTCCGATTATCATGCCATCGATTCGGTTCAATTCGATATTTCGGTGCATCACGGTGCATTGACGATGCTTTTATATTTTTTTCACAGCAGCATTTCTTGTATTAAAATGTATGAATACATTTATATAGGTTATTATTTGTAATACAATTGTGTCATTTAATACAAACAGTCAGATATATAAACTGTAACTTTAAACAAAACGAGCATTAAGCAAATAATATAAACAAATATAAATATCCAGCTCAATATCTGATCCTTGTCTAGTTCTCTTACACCCCTTTGATTGGGATTGATTGGGTTGCGATTGGCTCTTGCGCGCTGCGCTCTTCAGATGAATGATAAGCGGCAGGCGGCAGGCGGCAGCGGCGATCTCACAGCTGATGTATGATAGACACGGTGGAGAAAACTCTGCAGACACGCGCTCGTTTCTGCATCCAAAAGTAACGCTGTAAAACAGCCGAGAGGAGAAGAAAAGCCACGCCAGCAGGTCAAATGGGCCACTGTGTGTGTGTGAGAAAGAGAGAGAGACAGAGACAGAGGCAGAGCGAGAGAGAGAAAGAGAGAGAGAGAGAGAGAGAAATGGAGTAGGCTACTTCTCAAACTCACACAGTGAAATTGTGCACAGTTTATGAGTTTTAGAGTGTTGTAAATACTCGCGATCGCCTCCCTTGCGACAGAGCGCATATGAGGTAAATGACGTCAGTAATAACCGGTTATGATTATTACTGAATCGATACCGAATTGTCCGTGTCTGCATCGCGGTGCACTAACCACTACTAACCACTGTGTCGCCTTTACACTAAACTATATATATATATATATATATATATATATATATATATATATATATATATATATATATATATATATATATATATATAATGAAAATATAACCTATATTAATATTAAATATGCCAAGACGATTCATTTCTAAGACGAGCCAATTTCTAATTTTCCAATTTATTTCTTATATATATAAAGTACTTAATATATCTCAGCTCTACTTTATACACCAATCATTTTAATTTCAGTAAACACACAGCTTGTTTCACCTGGCAGTTGTGTCCTGTATAAACACTTGCTTCTTATGATCGGAGTCTAGATTTTCCTCAGATGAGAAATGCATTAGAGCTGCCTTTCTTTCTCGGTCTCGCACGGGACAGTCATCTATAACAGAGAGTAAATAAAACACTGATTTTAACATCTCAGTCCGCCAGACGCAAACACAGACAGAAAGCAGATGAATTACCGAGTCTGCGGAGTTTGGGGATTGCGTGGACCAGGTAAAGGCGGTAGTGTGGATGCTTCTTAACCACAGGATTCAGTCGCAGGTCCAGTTGCTTTAAATTCTGTAGTTTGTGCAGGGAAAAGATGTCCTGCAGAGACGCCAGTCTGTTATAGTACAGATTCAGTCTCTCCAGCAGCTCCAGATGCTCAATCCCCTACAAACATCCACATGACCGAGAGACAAATGGAGAAATTAATTATATTACAAACATCCCTTTCAAAAACATATCTAGTACACTGGAACATATGCTTGTTATCGCTGTTACATACAGCAACTGCAGCTGCATTTGCATTGGAATTGCATTCTATATACACATTTCTTAATGATCATTTCTATTTTCTGATTTTAAAAAAATGAGCTTTAACTTTTTATCCAAGTTAAATTTTTTTAAGAATAAGGTCTATTATATATATTTATATATATATATATATATATATATATATATATATATAAATATATATTTATATATATATATATATATATATAAATAAACCTTATTAATAAAAAAGTAACTATGTTTTTTTTAATATATTTTTATATTTAAAAAATATATATATGTGGCACAGTAGGTAATGCTGTCGCCTCACAGCAAGAAGGTCGCTGGTTCGAGCCTCAGCTGGGTCAGTTGGCATTTCTGTGTGGAGTTTGCATGTTCTCCCCGTGTTGGCGTGGGTTTCCTCCGGGTGCTCCGGTTTCCTCCATAGTCCAAACACATGGGCTATAGGGGAATTGAATAAGCTAAATTGGCCGTAGTGTATGTGTGTGAATAAGTGTGTATGGGTGTTTCCCAGTGTTGAGTTGCAACTGAAAGGGCATCAGCTGTGTAAAACATATGCTGGGTAAATTGGCAGTTCATTCTGCCGTGGCGACCCCTGATTGTTAAAGGAACTAAACCAAAAAGGAAATGGATGGATGGATTTTCATTTCAATATGCTAATACAAGTTATATGCGTAATAATAACAAACGTAGGCTACTATCCTACACTAAAAATTGATATTGAAATATATTATTAATGTTCAAATAGATGCTGATGTATTTTGACCTATTGTACATTATATATTTTACAAAAAAATGTTATTAAAATAATAAACTATATTAATATTCACCTGGGCGAAGCAGTGGCGCAGTAGGTAGTGCTATTACCTCACAGCAAAAAGGTCACTGGTTCGAGCTTCGGCTCAGTTGGCGTTTCTGTGTGGAGTTTGCATGTTCTCGCGTGGGTTTCCTCCGGGTGCTCCGGTTTTCCCCCACATTCCAAAGAAATGCGGTACACGTAAATTGGGTAGGCTAAATTGTCCATAGTGTATGAGTGTGTGTGTGTGTGTGAATGTGTGTGTGGATGTTTCCCAGAGATGGGTTGCGGCTGGAAGGGCATCCACTGCGTAAAAACTTACTGGATAAGTTGGCGGCTCATTCCGCTGTGGTGACCCCGGATTAACAAAGGGACTAAGCTGACAAAAAATGAATGAATGAATAAATAATATTCACCTGAACTGTGACCAGTGCGTTATATGAGAGATCCAGCGATTTCAGACGGACAAAGTTCTTCAGTGATGTTCCTAAATGACAGATTTTCCCTTCGTATGTTCCTGGTAGAGTCAATGATCGGACATCCGCTGTAATAAATGACTACAAATATTAGTTAATCAAATAAAAACTATATTATATAAATAACTGTATAAAAGTTTACCTAAACATCGATGCTGAAGGTTGAGTTTCTCTCTGATCCACTGTTCTGTTATGGGCAAACCGTCTACCGCCATTGTTTTGAAGAATAACCTCACACTGCGCATGTGCAGGACAAAGAGCGGCTTATGAATATTAATCACGTAATGAGACGCAGGCTCATCTGATTTGCTGAAAACTAGACGTTGGGGAGGGTTGTGTTGAATTAGCCAATCAAACATCGATAAATGGTTACCTTTTGAATATTATTTATGAGTAGAGTATGGATGTTTGGCTGAGGAGGGTTACCGAGCAACAGCTCACAAAAAGTGTTCATATTTGGATGAGTAATATGTCAACCAGCGTGAAGAGGATGTTATCAAACTACACCGACTATGTGAAGTTATGGAAATATACATTAAACAGGTCAGGAGTGCTCTGTTAAAGTGTTAACGTGAGAGAGAAATGTTTGCGTAGTGACGTTATCACCCTCTGGCGGCAAATCAGCGTCACCGTCCTCAGACACTGATTTATTTTGTGTTATTTTTCAGAAGCAAACCACGAATAATTAGTGGAATTAACTTACTTAAACTGTAATGACAAAGGGTCATTCAGAATACATCTAACTTATAAATAGAAACATTCAATGATATCGATTTATAAACGAGACGCGTGATCCTAAAAACAGGACTATGCTATTAAAACTGGTGGAAATATGACTGTTCATTAAAATTTATATTACATAATTGGATTAGTAGTAATTAATATGCATTTTGAATTTCAAAAAGTTTGGAATTGTTAAAGAATATCAAACATTTGCCGTTTATTTGATTTATTCATGTGTCATTCTGTTGTTCTTCCACAGGGGGCGCTAAAGGTAAAGACAATTTTGTAAATTGATGTAGATATTCATGTTTCTAAAATGCAATGTTTACTATTTATTTAGTGGAAACATTGATGTCATAAGGTAGCAAACAACTCTGATTGGTAAAATTATGTATTTTATATGCATATGAAAATACTTGGAAGCATAGATTAATTGACTTACGACTGTGAAGCAGCAACGCAGTGGCGCAGTTAGTATTGCTGTTGCCTTACAGCAAGAAGGTCGCTGGTTCGAGCCTCAGCTTGGTCAGTTGGCGTTTCTGTGTGGAGTTTACATGTTTTCCCTGCGTACAGGTGAATTGGGTAGGCTAAATTGTCCGTAGTGTATGAGTGTGATTGAGTGTGTATGGATGTTTCCCAGAAATGGGTTGCAGCTGCAAGGGCATCAGCTGCGTAAAACATATGCTGGATAAGTTTGTGGTACATTCCGCTGTGGCGACCCCAGATTAATAAATTGACTACGCCGAAAGAAAATGATTGAATGAACAACTGTGAAGCTTTATTTTTAAAATAGTATACTTATGATACATTAATATAGGTCTATATTTAAGCTAATATATTTACACATATTAATTAATTGTAGTAAACTGTTCCATAAATATTGTTCCTATTTGCACTATATCTTTATTATTATTATTATTATTCATTCATTAATTTTCTTCTCGGCTTAGTCCCTTTATTAATCAGGGGTCGCCACAGCGGAATGAACCGCCAACTTATCCAGCATATGTTTTACGCAACAGATGCTCTTCTAACTGCAACCCATCACTGGGAAACATCCATACACACTCATTCCCACACATACACTTCAGACAATTTAGTTTATCCAATTCACCTATACCACATGTTTTTGGACTCTGGGGCAAACCAGAGCACCCGGAGAAAACCCACGCGAACATGGGGAGAACATGCAAACTCCACACAGATCGCCAACTGACCCAACTGAGGCTCGAACCAGCAACCTTCTTGCTGTGAGGCGATTGTGCTACCCACTGA